TCGGGAAACACACATGATAAGACAAAAGTTGATTCAAACCGTCTCCATGCCAACACACAGTCTCTGCATTCACTAATACTCTTACCCCAAACAGTGAACTCTGTCCTAGTTTATTGACGCAGAAAAATAAATTTGTCTCCTTTTCCTATTACCTTATACTTACATCTGGTCTCACAGGTATAAATGAAGCTGGATCCTTTTATAGTTCTAGTTTACAAGTGATCACTGAATTTCACTTTAGGGAGCAATTTCGCTAAAGGAGATGATGGTTTAGAACATGATAATGGGAAAGAAAATTAAGAAGATGAAATAAGCACTCAGATTGATCTTACGGGCCCCAGTTCTCTCCATCAGAGAAGGAGACATAATAAAAAATGCTATCCAGCTCTTGTCATGTCCTGTGAATTAAGACTTAGGAGTTTCTTAGTGGAAAACATTTTATAACTGGTAACATTTCTCAGTGAATTCATTGAAATGCCATCTTCTAAGAAATCCATTTTGAAAAGAATTGTAACAGACTGAAAATTACGGGTAAATTGGAGAGAAATGTTTCTTCAAGTCAAAAACTTCACTTGTAGTTTAGCTTCTTGAGAAGTGCACCTGGCCTCACTCTGGAGTGCTTTTCTTTGAGTGGGGGTGCAGGAGGGGGTCTCAACAGTGCCTGTCAGAGAGCAGAGAGGCCATCCCAAGGGCCTGCGAGGCAGAAGGCCTATGTCCAGAGAGCTGGAGAGGCAGCAGTTGCTGCAATTAGAATCTAAAGGCTTGATTTAGAAACCAAACTTTACAGTCAACTGTTACACAGCGAGAACCACACAAGGTGCAAGGCAACACAGGATTTTCTAGTTTGGACTTATTCTCTCTGTGCAATTCGTAGGAAATTCTTAAGGAGAAGATTCACTGTGGGTAGATACTAGGCTCTTCTCCATGAACACTCCCCACCCTCCTTCTCTTGCTGCCTTCCTTCTATTTTATTGAGACAGAGTCTATGTAGCCCTTGGTGGGCCTGGTACATGCTAAATAGCCAAAGGTGACCCAGAACTCACGGCAGTCCTCCTGACTCAAATCTCCCAAGTGCTGGAGTTTTATGCATACATTGCCACCCCTGGCTTCCATGAAAGTTGTCAAATGGGCCAAATTTGCCTTATCCTCTTATCCTCTTTGTAGCACTTCATAAATATGCCGTGGTTCCTTTGGTTCATGTGCTACTCTTAAAAGCATCATTTGCTCCCCAGGCCTGCCACTCATCCTTTAAAGGACATCGGTGCCTTTCTGCTGATGATGCCACTTTACATGCCTGCCTCAAGGAAATGTGATGTTGCTTAGAGCATTTTCAGATGATTAGATGACTAACAAAAGAGTTAACAAGCATCAAAATACATAACATATATACACACATGCACACAGAAATACTGGCTACTCCTGAAACTGAGCTTGAAAGTTCAGGTTAGGGATTGGCAATTGTTAGTACCTGTAGGAAAAACAAACAAACAAACAAAAAAAACAAAACATTAAAAACTTTCTAATCCCACTAGATTTATGTTTACTAGATTTGTTGAAGGAAGTATTAAGTTATTGTTTTCTAAATAACTGTCCGTTTTCTTCAGAATAATTTCTGACTTACGAAACATTCTTTGAGACTCCATACTTCTAGAATACTGTCATAAAATATACCCAGCTGTCCTTAATAAAGAAATCACCTAGTTTTTCATTAGCTTTATTTATTTGTGGGTGTGTGGGTGTGCGTGGGTGTTGTTATGTACATGCACCTAGAGGCCCACAGAGGCCTGAACGGGTTATTGGATGCCCTGGAGCTAGAGTTAGAGGCAGTCATGAGCTACCCAGTGTTGTCACTGGGAATTGTACTGGAGAACCCTGCAAATGTACCAAATGCTTTTAACTGCTGAACCATCTCCTCAGACCCAAGCCTGGATTTTAATGTATATAAAAAGAGGCAAGTTAAAAATACACCAGGTTCCTTTTTTTTTTAGGAAATAAGGCTAGGTTTATCCGAAGGCAAATAAATGTTACTAAAGCCAAGAAACATAGACTTATGTTAAAAGAGAGAACATGACCTTTTATAGCCAAAGGACAAAGTCACAAATCCATACTTTCAACAAATCCATGGAAGTGGTCCTTAGGTGAGCTGTAGCAAAGGAGAGATTCTATGAGTTTCAGATGTTATCTACAGCGTTCTTAGCCTTGGGGTTGGTTAAGGCTAGAGGTCAGCTCAGCTTACTGAGACGTTTAGCTCACAGTAGAATGCTAGGTCAAACACAATAGTTAAGGTAAATGAGTAGCAAAGGGCTCATGGGGGGATACAAAATGAATAAAGTGTAATTAATAAAAAAAAATAAAAGATTTAAAAAACAAACAAACAAACAAACAAAAAAAAAGGCAGCCTAAAACAATTTGGTTAATAGGCATTATATCAAGGTTTTAGTTAATCCTTCTTTCGTTTTATGTATTTTAGGTTTCTAGAAACTGAAGGTCTTTTTTGTTGTTGGTGATGGTGGTTTTGACATTATTATCTATTCAATTCTTTCTCACAGAAAATATTTCCTGTTTCTGTTTTGGAGATCTGGGAGGAGAAATTATTAGAAGATATGTAAATAAGACTTAAAATCCTGGTTTGTTAAGAAAGGCAAAGTTATCAAAAAGCTATTAGAAGAATGAGAAGGTCAAGGTATAGAAAAAGACATAGTATTTAGAGCCAATTTCATATCAAATGCGGGAAGAACTGAGCAAAGCATGAACATTTACATTTTGCCTTTAATTCCACAAACTAGATTAAATTATTATTTAATAGTGTTATTAGCCTTGGGATTGCTATTGTTGTAGAATATTTCACAATAATGTTGGCCAGAAATTGTTTTAAAACTTCTCAATCATTCAATTTTTTATTTTGAACAACTATCATGATTACTCCTAGCTCGTGTGGGTTAGACTGAAGATTAAAAGAAAAACGTATGTGAATACATCAACCTCAAAGAACCATAGGAAGGTCAAATTATGCTATCTCAAAACAGAAGACGATTCAGTGCAATCACACTTATAAGACCACTGTATGCTTTTAAAAAAACTAAAAAAGTTTGAACAAATTTCAAATTCCTAAGCAATAGGTACCAGGCACTTGCTTAAAGTAGTCAGCTAGTAGAAATGAAAATCAAAAAAAGTCTCCGACAAATATTCAAAGTAAATTATAAATACATGATGGTCAATAGTATTGAAATCCACTTAGAAGCTCTACCAGGTTATTAGTGTTTACTCTATTGGAACCAAATATGTTTAAATATGCTAAAATATGTTTTTGTCATTCATAACAGGCTACCTTCTGTATATTAGGCTCTTCAAGTGATCTTTAAATTATTGTCCAATTCTACCTTAAAGAGTGCTCTCACAGAGGACATGCAATTCACATCATCTGGAGTTACTGTCATTTCTAGGCTAAGTCCCATGGAAATTCATAACTTAGAAATGAAAGTCGCAGGGATGCAACTGCCGTCACAATGCCGATGCAGTGGCCATAAATATTTCATGAACATTGCATGGGCTGGGGCAGATCTCCATTTTCATGAGTTAGAATTTGTACAGCTAAGTCTCCTGATTTTACTATTCATAATGCACTGTGTGCCCCACGGAGCCTTCCATATAGTGCTTTTTAATATTTATGTTTAATGAAGAAATTATTGTTCTGAAAAGTGAACAAACCAAGCCAAAGATTTTTGTTGAAAGTCTTGAGCTTGGCTCAACTGAAATAACAATCAACAGAAATGACCTCGTTGCAGTCTCTCAGCATATAAACACGTAGCTTTTAGAGCAGTACAGGGTGACAAATCAAAACATGCTAAAACCAAGCAAAAAGGTTCCTTTAAAGGTTATAACATTAGAAATTTTATCATAGACAAACTCAAAGGTTAAAATACCAAAAGCAACTTTTTTTAAACACATAAAAGAACATTAATACTTGCTGACTACTTCATATTTTTAATATATGTCTGTATTTCCTGGTTTTTCTTTTAACAACAACAACAAAAACATTTAACTTGCTAAAATAATATTGCTCAGTTTGATAATGAATTGTTATTGCATATTTTAAACTAATTTATCTAAGCACATTATCAAAACCTGCCAGAATAAATTTTGCATTCGACATTTAAAAAAAAAAAAAAAGCTATTGTGTGTGTTGAAATCAAAGAATTTACTACAGAAAAGTGAATTCAATGGGGAGGATGTTTGAGTACCTTTACCTAATGTTTGTCCCACGAGGAAAGAAAAACTCGCAAACTTGAAGAAAGCAGGCTTTTTTTTTTAAGCATCTTGATATTTTATTTCTCTCTCTCTCTTTTTTTTGTCATTTTGATCAATTCTTTCAAAGAGAGGAGTGTTGAGAAACCTCCTCTCATCTTGATAATACTTAAAAAGTAAGCGAATGTCATTGAGTAGCTCATTTGCCAGCCAAAGCTGTTAATCTGTTTTAGCATAAGTATCAATTGCCTTCAGCTGTTTGATTAAGTCACAGATAGTTTCTTTTGAATACACTTCAAACCAGAGTCAGTCTTCTCTAGTGAAAACAACAGCCTTTACCTTTGGATACCATTAACCAGTTCAAACATGTGTGTGTGTGTGTGTTCCCACCAAGAAAGATACTAGAAATTCCATAATGTTTCCAGAACTTAAAACGACACACTTATTATGTTCCTGTTTAACTGAAAGTGAGAAACTTTTTTTTCCTTATTTGCTTTTATGTAATTTTATTAAACAAAGACTTCCTTGAGCAACTTAAACTTTCCAGAATGGATCTGTAGTGCGCCTGCTGTGTACCAACCTTTGCTCCCTAATGAGTTTAGAAATGACACTGCGGAGGAATCTGAGACGTGTATCACGTCACTTCTGGGCAACTCTACTTGCCTTGCACATGCCCAGCTTTGATATTGTTTCGGGACACATTTTGATCACAATTCTTTAATTAGGTTCTATATTTAACTGACCTATTTGAACAGGATCCAGAGCTGGTGAGAAACATCTGTCGCTGGGTTAGGCAAGCTGTTCGGGTTCCGTTTTTTGCCAAGTTGACCCCAAATGTCACGGATATTGTAAGCATCGCAAGAGCAGCGAAGGAAGGTAAGAGCTGAAACTGCATTACTTCCCAGTTAATGCTCCTCCAATGGTTCAGCCATGCTGAAGTAGAACCTTTCCACACGCATACATACATACATACACACACACACACACACACACACATGCCTGTATTTATCTTTTAAGAAACATATCAAGTATCCAAGTGGGTGCCCTAGTAAGGAGAACAGGGACTATTTTTGACATGAACTCAATGGCGGGCTCTTTGACCTCTCCCCACCCCCAAGGGAGGAGCAGCCCTGCTAGGCCACAGATACCTTTGCAGCCAGTCCTGAAGAGACCTGATAAGCTAGGGTCAGATGAAAGGGGAGGAGGTCCTCCCCTATCAGTGGATTTGGAAAGGGGCAGGGAGGAGATGAGGGAGGGAAGGGTGGTATTGGGAGGGAATGAGGGAGCAGGATACAGCTAGGACACAAAGTTAATAAACTGTAACTAATATTAAAAATAAAATTTAAAAATATAGTGTAAAAAAAAAACATCAACTGGATCACTTGGTTTCACAAATGCATAAGGTATTAACCTAGTTTTGAAATACAGAATCATATTTTACACATCTTAACACACATGAAATATGAAGCAAATCTACAGTTCTAGCAGAGAACCCCATGGTTAAGGACTTCAGCATGTACCACCTAAGTAACAGCTTTTGCATTTATCATAAGTTTGAAAAAAGTATTGCCATATCTACACTGAAATTATTTATGTGTCCCTTGCCCTTGTTAAAATGAAGCCTAATGTCTTACACATTTTCTCAACAAGAATCTTTTGAATGTCAAGATCATGTAGTCAATAGAAAACTTTACAAAAACTACAAATTTCATTTCATGGTAATGGCACCCTGACTTGGAACAACATTGTAAATGACCCAGAAATTCACACTGGTTGGAAAACCTTTATGCCAATCTGATGATTAACAGATTGAAGCCATGCTAATCAAAACTTTAAAAAAATATCTAACATTTAAGTGTAACTGGAATAGTCAAATGAATGCAGACATTTGGGGGTAGGAAGTTCTGGGTTGCATGGGCCTGAATGGATTTCAATCGTCTTTTCTTCAAAACTTAAAGATAAATACATGCTTTTTACAGGTGGTGCAGATGGCGTTACAGCCACCAACACTGTCTCAGGCCTCATGGGACTGAAGGCTGATGGAACACCCTGGCCTGCCGTGGGCATTGGAAAGAGGACCACGTATGGAGGGGTATCAGGTGGGTTTTGCTGATCCTTGTGTTCTACTTCCTTGGACATTGCTGGAAGTCAAGAGGTTAGGGACAAGAAAGAGTGTCACATGTCTTCTGACGTTAGATTCTGACATAACTCATTACTGGTCACTACTACTGACCGATATGGTAGGATATATTAAGTATAAGGCTCTAGTCACTACTGGATGAGATGAGACAGTAGCAGAAAAGAGCCGAACTGACTCCTCCTCTGACATCTGATTTTCTCAGTTTCTCAATAGAATGACTATGTTGTCTCTTATTAGTAAAAGTGAACACCATGGCCCTTTAAGAAAAAGAAAGTATCACAATTATAACACAGTTTTGATCATCTTAAATCAGTTTCCATCCTTCCTAGACTTCTAATGTTATCCATTGTTTCTAAAACACCACGATTTCACAACTCAGAACAAACCACTAAAGCGCAGTATTTAGCTGCAGCTGATGAGACAGTGGGCTGAGCTCACACTTTTGCCTATTTCTTCTCATCCTCTTCCACTTGAATTTGAAAAAGGGAGGAAGTTTACTTCCAAGGTCCCTTCTGCTCTTGTTGCCCTCCACACTCTGTTGCTGTGACAACATGAACTCGGCCTTGTGGAGACAATGCTGTGATGTTCTTGACTGTTCTGATATGAGGATTAGTTTCCTTGGTGATAGAGAAATTGGTAAATATACATAAAGTAATGGTGCCCCAGTGTTCCAGAAAGGCATTGCTGAATCAGACCGAAATGGCAAAAAAAAAAAAAAAAAAAAAGCCTTGCCTATGTGGGAAAAAGTCTGTTGTGAGGTTGAAGCACATCCCTGGACCAAGGTAAAACTACAAGGACATGAGGCCACACGATGCTCTTCCCTGCATGCTCGGGCCACCACGTCTGAAGGAAGAAGACTGACAAGCAGCCCAGACATGGCCCCCGAGGTATCAGACAAGCCCTAACTATTGCTGTAGTATGGAGCAACACAGGCTGTGTGAGCAAGGGGAGTCAAGAGACTCCAGAGTTGGGCCTTTAACGCGAGCGACATGTTCCGTCAGCTCATTTCAATTTTTTTTCCAGCCTGTCATGTTGACAGCAAGAGAATAAAGGAGGTCACAGAGGGTTCTGAGCATTAAAAATTAATAAAAGAACTATTGAGGTAGTATTTTATATAAGTAACACCGTTCACGTTTTCTCATTTAAGCCGCAATTTCTGAATACTTTCCTCCGCTATAACTCAGTCTAATAAAACTATGAAATTACAGCATTAAAAAGAGTCTTTCATGTTTCAGTCTTTAAGCATACATACACTGAGCACAGGCTGTACCTCAGGGCCTGTTACCATTTCCAGGAAACTCCATTTCTGAGATTTATAAATACCTATATAAATACTCGCTTGGGCTATAAGCATCAGCAAAGCTGGGGTTGGAACGCTCATTTTCAAAAACAAAATGTCCCTCGCATTTTTAAGGTGCTGTCCCTCATTTCTAATAGTTTCTATATTAAATTCACCTACACTATGGAATCTATTTTGAAAATAGCCTTTCTCCATATGGATAAAACCACCGCAGTCTTTCTCTTTTAAAGGGGTGCTTACTGTAGTTTAAGAGTAGTAGGACCAGAAAATCAGCATAAACTGACAATGATAAGATGTGCTATGGCAGAAGCCAGTGTTATAGCAAAGAACTCTAAGAATGCATCATCATACAAGACCTAACCTTGTAAGATGGCTAAATAATACTGTTTTCAGAGCATAGCTAAAACCTTTCGCTGCTCAGTTAGATGTGCTTTTCAGAAATTCAAAGTCTGATCCCACTTAGAAAAGCACACAAAATATGATGGATTTTTTTTTATAAGATTAAAAGCAATGGCCACCACACATGGCTAACCCTATCACCCCAACGGTTTTCTCAGAGAAAGTTTTAGAACTATTTGACTTGAAGTTTACACTAAGCAAAGTTGACTAATAGTTTGGAGTGGCCACCTAACAGTGTATACCTGTGCTTCCAGACAAGGATCCTTTCTCCAGGTTATTATTTAAGCTCTATATTATGTTCATATTTTTACTTCTGGCATTGAAATACAAGTTACGTGTTTCAATAAAGAGCAAATATCATTACTAAGAGAAAGGTTATGTATTTGGTATACTTCCACATTTCCCTTTTAACATTTTTAATGTTTTCTTTATTTATTATGTGTATTTGTATCTTCATGTGGATTTATTCAAACGAGTGCATGTGCCTGAAGAGGTTAAAAAAGGTCACCTGCGTCCCTGGAACTGGAGTTGCTGTGGCCGGGACCCTCCACCTATAGGTGCTGAGAACCATTTAGGTCCAAAGCAAGAGCAGTCAGTCTACGTGTGCTGAGCCACCTTTCCAGGCCATATTTCAGCATTTTTTTATTTTTAATTTTTTATTACTTCTTTGAGAATTTTGTACTATGTGGTTTGATCAGATTCATATCCTTAATTCTTCCCATATCTACCCTATGCCCTAATCTACTCAACTGTGTTTCTTTCTTTTTTTTTTTTTTTTTTTTTTTATTTTTTTAGATCAATTTGTGTTGACCAAAAATTCTTGAAAGTATAGTCTTCCACTGGATCATGGTTCATTTACCAGGGTCTACACTCTTCGAGAAAATCGACTCTCTCCCAGCAGCTTGTAGTTGCCAACAGTTCTTTGGCTAAGGGTAGGATTTCTCACCCATCTATCCTCTTCATGCTGGAATTTAGTCTGGCTCAGGTTTGCATAGGTTTTGTGCATGTTTTTGTAACCATTGTGAATTCATATATGCAACTGTCTTGCTATGTTAATAAGACACTATTTCCTTGTAGTTGTTAACTACTGCCTCTGGCACTTTAAACCCTTTCTGCAATGATCCTGGAGCTTTGGGACTAGGGCCTGGGGTATAGATGTTCCGTTTAGATAACAGGGCTGTTGCCCATTGAGAAGATAGGCTCAATGAAAGAACGTCAATCAAATTGAATTGTTTCTCATGACTGTTCTGGACTCTAGAGCACTGTTTTGTTTTTTTGTGTGTTCTTTCCAAATACTGTCTTTCAATCATGAATGTGCTCTAAAATTAAGTTTAATGAATTGTAATCAACATCATTTAACGTTTTCACATGTGTGCATGTGTTTGCATATGAGGTTGTGCACCTGAACGAAGTGACCCCTGAGCTGTAGAAGGTGTAGGATCCCATGAAGCTGGAACCACAGGCATTTGTGGGCCTCCTGATACGAGCAATGGGAACTGAACTAGGATCTTCTGGGAAAGCAATATGTTCTCTTGATGACTGAGCCATCTCTCTTCCCATGCAATCAATATTTAAAAAATAAATAAATAAAAACTAAAATGGGGGAAATTCTGTAATGTTTTGAGCACAGTGTTGTTTGGTGAAATTTCTTTCTCAGCTGTACATGTGCAATGAGCATGTGTACACCACGGTAGGAGATGTGTGTCACTGTGACACATGTCAAAATCCTTTGAAGTGATAACGTTCTGACAAAGGTACATTTCTTAAATAAAAGAAGCCAGTGGGCCTGTAAGACGATAATGCCCGCTTGTTGCAGTTTAAAGGGAGTTAGTACACCATTCTGAGGACCTGTCCTCTGCTTGTTATTTTAGAACCTGCATGTTTTCTAACTCTGTAAGTCTGTGGGATCAGAATGGGAATGGGGCTCAAGCACACGATCTAAACTCATAAAGAAATGACTTGATAATGACAGGAAGCAAATCACGAGAGAAGCAGCTGACAAGATTCATGCTTAGAGGAGGAGTATATCAAAGGAGGAGTTGTAGATCAGGTGTGCAAACGGTGAGATGAGAAGGAGAAATCGCGACCAATACACATGAGACGTATTGTCCTGAAACTGATTAAGCTCTGAGTCTTCCAAGTATTTCTGTGGGAGAGACAGCTCACAGAGTAAAGGCGCTTTCCCAGAACCTACACAGTGGAAGGAGACAGAGAGCGCTGGCAGAAGTTGACAGTCACATGTGTGTGGTGGCGCTCAAGCCCTGCATCCACAAGCACCATAAATAAATAAGTGTAAAAAGATGAATTGTAAAGACTAATTGTTCTCTACTCTTCTATGGACAGTATAGAAAATAGTCTTAAGTTGTTACTAATGTTTTTTTTTTTCTTCTAGACTGTAGGCAGAAAAGTTGTTATATCCAATAGTGTATGTGTGCGTGCAACTCATTGCTTTTTATTTATCTGATGGAGAGAAGCTTCAACTTCATCAGGAATATGAACTCTGAACCTCAGTGGAGATTTTTTTTTCCTACTTTAGATTCTTTTTGTTGTTGTTGTTCTTTTACTTTAAAATTTTCGCCATTTTTCAACCATACTCTGAAATAATAAAAGCATCTAATGCAGCCACAACTAAGTGATTGCTACCATTCATCTGTATAAATGGTGTCACCCAGCTGTGGTATGACATGGTCACACAAAGTCCTCCCTGTGGGTAGGCTTCAGTTAAAGATCGTTAAGAATGAATCTTCCGTGGCTTCAGATAAAGGCATGTCGTTCTTACAGCTGACATTGGGGGACAGCCTTTGTTCATTTACAGCTCCATCAGGACAAAGAGATGTTGTGTTTCCTTCAATGGGTCAACATACTTGAAGACGTTTTCTTTTGCTGTTCCTCTGTTTTTAGTTTTTCTAATTCTTGGAGAAGGACATTTTTCTTAGATCTGTTTTGTTCCATTCTATTCCTTGCGTGTACGTGTCTGTCACATATGTAAATACACACTTAGGGAAAAGTTATTAAATTTCCCTACAGACAATATTTTAAATAATATTTCAGGGTTAGAGAAATTTACTTCAAACATATTAAGAAACAGACTCATTGTTTTGAAGTATTTTGTTTGCCAGTTTGTTGTAATTTCTCACAGAATGGGAACTCCTTATTTTAAAATTTTGGATGCTTGCTTGAAATTTAATTATGTACATACTTAATAGAGTATGAATAGAGCCCACTGTCTATGGGACTGGGAGGAGACTACAATCAGGATA